TCACCCCTCATTCTGCCTGTTCACCCCTCATTCTGCCTGTTCACCCCTTACAGCCCCCTCATTCATTCTGCCTGTTCACCCCTCACCCCTCATTCTGCCTGTTCACCCCTTACAGCCCCCTCATTCTGCCTGTGTGCTGCCAGCTGGGAGCCAGCCCCAGGGGCTGTTCCCGCTGGGAAACCTCCGTGTGGCACATGAAATTACTGTGTTACACCAAAATAACCCAGCTGTGCTGCCCAGCTCAGCCTCTCCTGCAAAGCTTGGCAGCCCCGCAACGAGCACAAAAGGAAGCTGATTCACTGTGTGGCTTTTTCTTTCCCCTTACAGCCCCCTCATTCTGCCTGTGTGCTGCCAGCTGGGAGCCAGCCCCAGGGGCTGTTCCCGCTGGGAAACCTCCGTGTGGCACATGAAATTACTGTGTTACACCAAAATAACCCAGCTGTGCTGCCCAGCTCAGCCTCTCCTGCAAAGCTTGGCAGCCCCGCAACGAGCACAAAAGGAAGCTGATTCACTGTGTGGCTTTTTCTTTCAAAACTTGGAAATTCTTGCCTGTTTCTGTTTTTGTAGTGGTTTTGAAGTCATGCTAAGCTTTGGAAGATGTGTCCATGCACACTTTAAAGACTGCCAGCTTTAAAGAACTTAGTGAAACCTTGCACAGTAAAGTATTGTCAGTTCATGAGTACACTGGCGCACAGATTTGAAAATATTCTTCACATAGGAAATAGGACAAAAAGCTATTATTTTAGGACACAGGAGATGGGATGGGGAAAAAAATGGTCAAGCTTCTGTTGTAGGGGTCTAGCACAGGAAATGCATTGTAGGGCTTTAGTAGATAAATAAACTCCCACACAAATTAAAGATTTCTAAATTTTGTAGCAAAAAGCTTGAACAGTTCTTTATTTTCTAGTACAGTTTTTGTCAGAATGTTCCCTAATATTAGAATATATAATCTATATTCTGTATTAGAAGATAGAACACATATTCTAGTATAGATCATCTGTATGCAGCAGGTGTTGTTAGTGGAGGGGAGAACATACTGTAAATTAACCTTAGAAAGTCTTTTCAGCCTGTGTCTGCCTATAAAGCCGTGGTTTAGACACAGTTATTCAGATTAATTCCTTCATTCTGTGAGGATCCCTCTTCATTCATCACGTTATTTCTCAGGGACAGCAGGCTGTGAGAGGCACTAGTGGTGCTGTGGATAGGCTATAAATGTATTTCAGCGCCTGTGTCTCTCCAGAATTGGTGTTTGTGCCTGGCTGGTGATGCCACACTGAGCTTTCCTTGGCTGCTGCCGTTTCTCACTTGTCCCATGTTTTAGCACCTCCCCGGGCCGTGCCTGCCCTGACATCTTGTTGCAAAAGCTGCTGTTGCCTGCAGTACTGTGTTTGAGTCTTCCCTGCCTGTTCTGCCGCCTCCAGGACGCGGTTCCTAGAGGGCACAGAATAATCTGACTGCACGACTGTGTGCCCTTTATTTTTCTTTAGAAAATGTGTTATCTGGGGCTTTTTCTCTGTCTTGAGTGGTTGTTTTTCACCATCAAGCCCACAGCATGCTGGGCAGCTTGTGCTGGATGAAGCTAGTGGGGGGGTGGTTTCACAGGAAAGCAGTTTGGGGGAGAAAACCTTGTTTTCGCTCGTGTGAAACAAACTGCTTGTTTTCTTTTCAAGGGCCAGTTCACAATGAACTCGCATTCCAGCCTCCTATATCAAACCATCCTGGTGAGTACAGCCTGACACGAAGTGCAGTCCTGTGAGAGGTGTGCTTGCTGTGAGGAGGAGAGGAGCCTTGTTTCCATGGACCCTGCTGTAAACTGGGGCGTCTCCTGGGGCGCAGGGACGTGAGCAGGGCTGGTTCAGTGCCCGGGCTGGGCGTGCAGCCCTGGGAGCAGCCTGGTGTGTGTGTGTGTGTGTGTGCCCAGCTGCCTGGGGCTGTGCCAAGCCCTGCAAGGGAGTGCTGTCCCTCCCACATCTGGGGCTGCTGTTCCTCCCTGGGCCTTCTGGAGGCTTCCCGGGAGTCTCCCTTGCATCCCTCTCGCTGCAGGAGCTCTCTCTGCTGCAGTGATATTTTGTGTTTAACAACAGTAGCACTGCTCCCTGCAGAAGGGGCGCTACACAGTTGAAAAGCCAAAATATTAAGCTTGTTTTTGTCCAGATACTACAGCAGTGCCGGGAATTACATGTTGGTAACTGCTGGGTGAGCTTAACTGCAGCTGAATTGTGATTCACGTTGTTTGGTATCTCTTTTGCACTATTGATTTCATCCTGTTGAGTCCTCAGTGCCCAGAGCAGCTGTGGCTGCCCCAGCCCGGGAGTGTCCCAGTCCAGGCTGGAGCACCCTGTGCCCATGGCAGGGTTTGGAATGAGATGAGCCCAAAGGTCCCTTCTAACCACAGCCATTCTGGGATCCTGTGATATGTTGGTGCTCCCCAGCTGTGTTTCCCTCTCGTGGAAATGGACCCTGCAGTCATTCCCATCTGTGACTGGAGCTTATGGCATCTTTGGGGTGTCCAGACACAGAAACCACAGCACACAGCAGCCAGGAGTGTGACAGGCACAGCTCCAGGTGGCACAGCAGTGACTCACACTGACACTCGTGTGTGCTTGGCCATCCTCCACTGCCTGCTGGGCTGTTTGGGATTCAGGGCAGTGCCAGGGAGTCTCCTTTCCTCACAAGGCAGATTGCTGCAGCAGCCATCCTTCCTTTCTGGCCAGTTTTTCTTTTCCAAATGCATGGAAGGGTTAGAAGGCAGCTCTTTGCTTTCAGAGCATGCCACTTTGTTCTGCTCCCTCAGTTTGTGCCCCCGTGTTCTGTCCTGTCCCTGATCAGTGTGAGATCTTTGATGTTCTTCCCCCACGTCCTGCTTCCCAGCTCCAGGGGAGCTGGTGTGTAGCCATGATATTATGAAAATCCTTTGCTGGGATTTTTCCTCTCCTGAGAAGCTGAGGAGCCTCAGGAGAGAAATGTAAACAATTACTATCTGCTGCTGTGGAATGCAACAGGTGCATCTGTGATTGGTCCATGTGGATTGTTTTCCATTGATGACCAATCACAGCCACCTGTGCCAAGGCTGTGAGCAGTCACAGGATTTTTGTTATTCTATTCTGTTCTTGTTGTAGCCTTCTGATCTCTCTGTTCTTTTAGTATAGTCTTAATGTAGCATTTTAATATAATATCTAACATAATAAATCAGCCTTCTGAAAAGGAGTCAAGCCTCGTGTCTCCACACACGGAGAGGAATCATCAACACTGGTGATCCCTTCCGAGGCGAGGGCAGGTGCAGAGGGAAGGGATGACCCCGGTGTCTGCAGCCAGAGCTGGTCTGTGCAGCCCAGCCATGCATGGGCACACGTGTTCCTCCTGTGTGCAAGGCCGGGCTGTGGGGATGCAGATGGCTTACCAGGCCTGCCTGGAATGCTAAACTACACACAGACTTGTGAGAGCTGAAGTACAACTACCTCAGGCCCTGGTGTGTGCTGCAGTAAAGACAAGCCATGTTTGCTGTGGCAGGTGGTGTTTCTGTGGGCTAGCAGACCTGCCTTTGTCCAGGTGTGAGTGTGCCTCTCCTGTGCCTGACGAAGGCAGCTGCAGAGTGGATGGTCTGGAGTGGTTTCCCTGGTGCCTTTCAGGCAGCTAACTGTGTCTGTTGTTCAGCTCCAGAGTACTGGTGTTCCATCGCCTACTTTGAGATGGACGTGCAGGTCGGGGAGACGTTCAAGGTGCCCTCGAGCTGCCCCATTGTCACCGTGGATGGGTACGTGGATCCCTCCGGAGGGGACCGCTTCTGCCTGGGCCAGCTGTCCAACGTGCACAGAACAGAAGCCATCGAGAGAGCAAGGTACCCGGGTCCCTCTGGAGTTTGGCAGTGCTCAGTGTGTGTCCCCTTGGGAAGTGTGCATGGGTCTGTCTGAATTACCCTGGCTGTGCTCTCCTGAGGTGGTTCAGGGCTGAGCTCTGCTGTAGCAGTCGCTGTGCCTCGGCAGTGAGGTTGTAACTCCTGCCCTTGTGTGTGCAGCTCAGGTATTAGCTCTCCACAGCCCCTCAGGGTGATGTGGGAAGGGCTGCAGCACACAGATTTGCCACAGGAGCAGGGGAAGGCTGGCACAGAGCTGGTGGGCTCTCATTCCATCCCACTGTGCCTGTGCTGGCCTTTGAAGTGGAAGCACGCAGAACTGAAGCAATGCTGCCGGTTTTTTCTCCTCCTCTTGGAAAGGAGATGGAAGAAAATGATGCCTTCTCTCCAGGAATGTCACACTGTGACAATCAAAGCCTTAGATGGCCAAACAAAGGAGTAAAACGTGGCTTTGTGGATGTTGCTGAGTGAGTGTGTGACACACAGAGCACTC